AAAAACGTTATGATCATCGTTTAGCATTTTTAATGGGCTTTCCAAAAAGGCACCACAGGTAGGGTGTTGCCATTGCCAGGTCGGGGTGGTTCAAAAAATTCGTCATATGTATTCCCCTTTGATATTATAGAAATGGTATTTTTTATTTTTTTGATATCTTTTTTGGTTTAAAAATTATAGCCATTGTAAGTTTTCAATAGCCCACCCTGTATATTAATTGAATTTCGGATTCTGGGAGAAAAATAAAGGTGTGTTTTATAAGAGAAGTATATGACTAAAATGTAAGGTTTTTGATATATTTAACATTTTCTAGAAATAAAGAACAATTTTTAAATAACAATAAAAGCTACCTAAATTTGAATTTACCCGGTATAGCCTAATATTTAGTTAAATTAACTATTGTACTTTAAATCAAACTATAACTTGATCCAAAAAGTTATACAGGGTGAGACAAAATTAATATTGAACATTGGTCACCTTTAAAAGCATGTTATTCTTTTATCTTAAATGGAACACCCAGTATATTATTCCGATATTCATGTCCCTTCAAAATACTATTAAGGTTGTGTACCCTTCAAACAAAGATTTTCCTAGATATTGTCATTTACATGATATGATCTGGGTAGATCTTTATTATTTGATAAAACTAATTAGTCCAACTTTTTGAAAACTAGTTATCATTTTGTGTCAGTTAAAATAAAAAAAATCTCAAAAATTTGCCGAAAATGCAAACTTATCACCAGAGAATGATAAGATTCTATTAGTTGGTGAATGCAGTGTGCATTCACTAATTAATAGAATATTTAAATGCTGTTTTAATTTTGTAATAATTAAAATATGTTTTAAACGTTTATCTTTTTATTACCGTTGAGTGTTTTACTCTACAATCTTTAATTTTTGTTAAATTAACAAAAGGTATATATCACAGCCACCTAGATTTTAATCCTAAAAATTAAAATATCTAGGAAAATCTTTGTCTGAGGGGTAGGCAACCTTAATAATATTTTGAAGACATGTAAATTCTCCATTGAACACCGGAATAATATACCGGGTGTTTCATTTAACATAAAGGAGTAACTTGCTTTTAAAAGTGACTAATCTTCCATACTAACTTTGTCTCACCCTGTATAACTTTTCGGGTCAAATTTCAATTTGGTTTAACATACAATGGTTTCTGTAATTAAATATCAGGCCAAGCAAAATTTAGTTAGCTGTTATCGAAATTTAAAATTTACTCTTCATTTTCACAAAATGTGAAATATGTCAAAATCCATAGATTTTAGGTATATGCTTCTTTAAAAAAACTCACCTTTATTTTTTTCCTAGAACCCGAAAAACAATTAATATATAGGGTGTTCCATTAGAAAAAACAAAACTTTGATGTGTAACTTTTTTTGGGGACACCCTGTATAATACTATATATGCATATGCTGCCAAAATTTCATTTCTATATAAACTACCGTTCTCCTTGGAGCTTCTGCGGAGTATGAGAGGCGCTGCGCGACCCTGTATATTTGTCAACAAAGACGATATTGGACTTCTTCGGGCTAATGAGCCACCCCGTATACAGGGTGTCATTGAAATGGTGTAAAAAAACAAGGGGTGATAGTACTCCTAAAAATAGTAGTAGGGCGGAAAACGCATATTAAGGGAGTTAGGGGCACTAAAAGGGTGAATTTAAAAAACGGTTGTTTTGAAATTGCAGCCTTAAAAAACGAGATAAAATTTCGAAAAAAAATCCTCTGCCAGAAATTTTGACCCTAAATCAAATGGTTATACGGAAAAATTATTTGGAAAAGCGGAAAGGGTAGTTTTTGCAAGGGTAGGGGGTTGTTTCGTAAATAACTTTTTTGAGGTGATCTTTTTTGCAACGTGGGTTTATTTTTTGAAAACTACATACTTTTTCCTACAATTGACAGCAAAAAGTTTGCTTTGATGGATTGCTAACTGGTTAATCAACATAAACTTATGAAAGTTATGGCGGTTCAAAAGTAACCAAGTAATTATTAAATAATTAATTGGAAAATCAAAATTTCATGATTTTTAAAACATCTTATTGCTTTAAAAACGAAATAAACCAATTACCAAAATTCCTTATTAAAATAATGCGTTCCTTAATTCATTCATAGTAAATGTTTAAAGTGACCACCATTCATTTCAATGCAGACATCTGCTCCAAGATCTGCGTACCCTGTGGAATATCCTTGGCATTGTCCAAATTTGATTGGAACAGTCAATAATGCGTTGCCGTAGTTGCTCTTCAGTATTAATCGGCACTGAGTAAACCAAAGCTTTCAAATGGCCCCAGAAGTAGAAATCTAGTGGATTATTTCGTTTTTTAAAGCAATAAGATGTTTTAAAAATCATGAAATTTTGATTTTTCAATTAATTATTTGATACCTACTTGGTTTCTTTTGAACCGCCATAATTTCATAAGTTTATGTATTGTTGATTAATCACTTAGCACAACCACAGAATATCTAGCTACGCAACAGAAGCCTCGTTACATGTATAAAATTGTAGGTAGCAAAAGGAGACAGGCTTTAAAAGTCTGTCTCCAAATCAGATATTTTGATGTGGTAGTTTCGCTACTTAATAATAGAGGGCAATAAATTTAAAAGAAAACAGTTTTCTACAAACAAAATTTAAAACAATTTTGTGCAGTGTTGCCATACGATGTAATTCATATCGTAATACTTCCTGATAAAGCTTACCTTCAAATTTGCTACATCATTTAAACATATTAAAATAGATCAGAGCTGTTTTTTTCAGTTTGCCATGTTAGATGGAATTAAATCTTATGAGCTAAATTACAATCACTTCCTGACGTTTGATTGTATAATTGAATCCTGAATTTTCATTGTAATTCGGCGACAATATAATAAGTATTGTTCTACTATTATTATAGTTCTACCACTTCCTGACGTTCGATTGTGTTCATACCAAGTTCATATCGTAAAATCGGGAAAAAACGGCGTTAGCGATAGCTATGAAATGAATATCGCTGTCATTTTATATGTAAATTTATATGAGAAATGTCATCGATCGTCCTTTTCCAGCCAACTGGACGCCGTTTTTTTCAGAAGCATATCAAGTGATACCATAATATAGTACTATATTACGATACATGGCGTTCGATTGGGCTTAAACTTGGTATACTATATCTTCAGTGACATTGTAATATTATGGTACCATGAAGCATATAAAGTGGTACCTTCTATAGTACCATATTTGATGACATAGCAATATTAGGTACATGGCGGCAATAGGGCTTAAACTTGGTATACTACGTATCTTCGGTGACATTGCAATATTATGGTACCTTAAAGCATATCAAGTGGTACCATAATATAGTACACTATTATGATATCATTTCCTGGAGTTCGATTGGGCCCAAATTTGGTATACTTGCGTTTCTTTATAAAGATTTGTTTAATTAATAATTTTAATTTATTTTACGAATTTTAATTTATTGTTCGATGTCGTGACAGCAACTTTTATGTTGAACTAATATATTATTAATTGTACCTGTGTCACTTTTTAAAATCTACCTAGGTCTATATAAATAACGTGGCAAACGGAAGAAATTTGTTATTATAGTATTTTTTAGTCAGTTAACATTTTTTGTACTGCATTTTAATAAATTATTTCCATTATTATTAAACTTATATTTTATTACTAACGTTCCAGCATTAATAAATATCACTATCAATCGCCCTGTATATTATTAATTTTTAAGGTAATTAAAGGTATTTTCTTAGTTAACATTATAAGGTAGTGTATATTAAAAATGTATATGTTTTGTAATAATATACTTAAAACTATTTTAATAGCCAAAGGAATAATTAATATAAGTGTATCTGACAAGAAAAGAAGAATAGAAAGAAACACATACTGCATTATACAAAATAAAAAGAATGGGATGCCAATTCAAGTCTTTTTGAATCTGGCAACTGTGCACATTTAGCCGAGCTATAAGGCCGTCGACGAGCCGTCGATCCAAAACCGAAAGTTCAAAATTTTTTTAGATAATATTGTATTATTTGTAAATATAATTTTTCGAACATTGATACTTGCAAAATATACATATAAATTTTGTGAATGCAAATAATAATACATCACTATTAGTAGATATTAAATGGTTTTTGTTAAATTAGATCGATTTTCAAACCCCAAAATTTAAAATATATTTACATTTTACCCATTATCTTATGTACCTATACATTATTTGTACATTGTAAAACATTTGCTGCATTTGTATGGTTCATAGTTTATTTGCCAAAGTATTTATTACTATAAATAGGTATATATGTTGTAGTTATTAACTGTATATTATGTATATTTCATTTAAACTATATCATTTTTAAAATACAAACCAAAAATCTGAGGAATAATTATGTTTTCCATGTATTCTACAACATATTTATTAATCCGTTATATCTAACTAGCGTGACGTCATAAATCTCGCCCGCAGGCTGATCTTTTAATAGAAGGCACTGTGTGCAACAAGAGTACTTTTTTGTAGGAAAAAGTATGTAGAACCCGCGTTGCAAAAAAATAACCTCAAAAAAGGTATTCACGAAACAACCCCCTACGCCCTACCCTTGCAAAAACTATCTTTTCTGCTTTTCCAAATAATTTTTCAGTATCACCGTTTGATTTAGGGTCAACATTTATGGCAGAGGATTTTTTTCGAAATTTTATCTCGTTTTTTAAGGCTGCAATTTCAAAACAACCGTTTTTTAAATTCACCCTTTCAGTGCCCTTAACTCCCTTAATATGCATTTGCCGCCCTATACTTATAGGAACTTTCTTTTACTATTTTTAGGAGTACTATCACCGCCTGATTTTTTTTTACACCATTTCAATGACACCCTGTAAGATAAGAAGACAAAGTACTCTACTTCGATAACCACAGTTTCTAAGAACCAACAAAGAGATATTCGAGCAAATACAGACCAAGATCAACAATACATAAACGTTTCGATGCGTTTGGCGACACCACCACCAACCTCTTACGTCTCGTTTCCTTTTAAAGCCTCAAGAGCAGAGCTCGCGTATCCGAAAGGTTTCTCGGCTTATAACTCTTTTATTTCTTCTTATCTTCGACTGGGGATTGTTGGCCCCCCGACACAAGCTCAGCGGAGAGTCAGACACAGTCAGTTATCTCAAGCAGGCCGGTTAAGAAAGAACCGATTGACCCCAAAGTGCAGTAGTATTCGAGTTATTTCAAAAAGTTCAGTCGTTTTACTTGTTTTGTTGAGCCGTTTTAAGAACACACGTAAGTACGAACTAATTTTATTTCGTTAAACGTACGGTGCGTCTCCGGAGAGTGTCTTTGCACGAAGGATTTCTTTTTATTATTAACATTTTGAAAAAAAGGTATTCTTTATCTCTATACTAATATATGTTGTATAAAAACCTTAAGTGACTGACTCACTGATTAATCACGATCCTGCTCAAACCACTCAAACGTAAGCAGCTCAATTTTGGCATACAGGTGGATTCTAGGGTGTAGAGGTTCGATAAGAAGGGATTTTTCGAAATTCCAGTTCCAAGGGGGTGAAACCACCCCTCAAATATTACAATATATTTTATTTAAAAAACGGCCCAGTTTCCGAAAAAACGCTTAAACACGTATATTTTATTTCGTTTTTTTTTCATATTTTAAGGGTTTTTAAAAATGTATATAGGGTGTTTCGGAAAATCTGGTCATTGATTAATCATGATCCTGCTTAAAGCGCTTGATGTAAAAAACTGATTTTTGCAAAACGAATTGACTTTAGGGTGTAGAGGTTCGATAAGAAGGGATTTTTCGAAATTCCAGTTCCAAGGGGGTGAAACCACCCCTCAAATATTACAATAAATTTTATTTAAAAAACGGCCCAGTTTCCGAAAAAACGCTTAAACACGTATATTTTATTTTGGTTTTTTTCATATTTTAAGATTTTTTAAAAATGTATATAGGGTGTTTCGGAAAATCTGGTCATTGATTAATCACGATCCTGCTTAAAGCGCTTGATGCAAAAAACTGATTTTTGCAAAACGAATTGACTTTAGGGTGTAGAGGTTCGATAAGAAGGGATTTTTCGAAACTCGAATTCTAAGGGGGTGAAACCACCCCTCAAATATTAGAATATTTTTCATTTAAAAAGTGGTGAGTTTTTCGGAAAAACTCTTAAACACGTATATTTTATTTTGTTGTTTTACATATTTTAAGAGTTTTTTAAAAATTTATACAGGGTGTTTCATAAAATATGACCACTGAGTAATCACGATTCTGCTTAAACTGCTTGACGTTTAAAGCTGATTTTTGGCACGAAAGCGACTGCATCGGAAACCGCTCGGCAAACCCGATACGCCTATTGAGTGGTGTAAATACACCAGTCGTTTAGTCCGGAAACCTATGCTGTGTCGTATTCGCTTGCTGGAATGACATAGTGCGTGGTTATATGTTTCTTTTTAAAAACGCGTGTAGGATTTTCGTTGAACTTTTGAACTGTTATTTCTAAGTTTTGGTAATTTGTATATCTTATTTAAAATGGGATGCAAATGTTTTTATTTATAAGGAAAAAAAAGATATTTATAGTATAAAAAATTAATTTATTTAACAAAATTTAATTAAAAATGTTACAAAATAGTTACCTTTCTATTGGTTCTATCGGACTTTTTTCGACTATATAAATCTTTATTTGTAAACTTTAATACATCAAATATTTTCAATCTAATTAATCATTTAATGATGTAAATAAGAGGAAATTTCTCACATGGGTGGTCAAATTTTATAGTTTTCATTATATCAAACAGCCTCTGAGAAATGTTTTCAACTCAAAATGCCTTTAATTATGTTTGACTACATCATTAAAAAGGGTGTTCAAATACATCAATGTGATATTTGTCTAAAATTTGCAAAAAAATCCGAATCTCTGGATAACTCGAAATTATTTACCCATTTAAAAGCCTTTGATCATGAAAGTGGAAAAATTTGTTCATTTTATTTACAGGCTGGAAAAATTATTTAAATTAAATTTTGATGAGTTTTGCACTGAAGAAAACGTTCAGAGGCTGTTTGATATAATGAAAACTATAGAATTTGACCACCCATGTGAGAAATTTCCTCTATTTACATCATTAAATTATTTATTAGATTGAAAATATTTTATGCATTAAAGTTTACAAAAAATAAAGATTTATATAGTCGAAAAAAGTCCGATAGAACCAATAGAAATGTAACTATTTTGTCACATCTTTAATTAAATTTTGTTAAATAAATTAATTTTTTATACTATAAATATCTTTTTTTTTCCTAATCTCCTACGAGCTGATATAATATGACGAGCAATCTATTAAATTACTGTGAGATTATACAGAAAAGTCCACAGACTTCGAGACATAGGAAAATCAAGTCCATTTAGCGTGTGTCCAAATTTTGACAAGTTTTCAAAAATGACAGTTTTGTTTAGACTGACGTTTAATTTCACCTGACTTCTCGGTGAATGATTTCTTTTTATGGGGGTACATAAAATCTAAAATTTACGGCCATGAAGAAATTCAAAACTTGGAGCAGTTAAGGCAGAAAATATTTAATGCCTTTGACACTGTCACCCCTGATATGTTATCCAATGTGAGGAGGGGATTTTATGATCGTTTGGGTTATTGTTTAATGCAAGAGGGAGGCACTTTTGAACAATTTTTGTAATTTTTTAAATTTCATTATCCTGTTTTTTTACCGTTTACCCATTACCTACCTTGACGAACATGGGAAAACGAAGGTCCTTTTCAGGACCACAAATATTTTGATTGAGAAAATTGGTAACTTTTTTTTGGATTAAAAAACAAAAGTTGTTAATATAATACCAATTTAAAAGTGTTTTAGTAGTTTTAATACACACTATGATATAAAATTTATTATTATTATAATGTACATTATTAATACTATTGTTCATTCGAAATGGCATTAAGGCCCAATTGCAACAATGATTTAAATTTTTCTTAAAGATAAGTAGAGCTTAGAATGAGCTGTATTTATATTTACTTTAATATTCACCTTAAATGAGGGAATTTGACTGATACAATTTTGAATTTGAATTGTTTTTTAATGATACTAACAATTTTAGTTCAATTTTTAATAAAATTTATTTAATATTAATAGAAATCCAAGAGATTTGAAACCTCTTTTAGCGATTTATAACATTCTCAAATGAATTACAGGTGCCCTTATTTTCTATGAAAATCACACAGCTTTTTTCATAGTCGCTGCAGTTGCTATAGCTATAAAAAACTAATTTTTTAAGGTGTGAAAATTGCGGCACACGCTGATTTTTCGTATGTCTCGAAGTCTGTGGACCTTTTTGTATGCCTCGATAACATATTGGTGCAGATTATTTTCATCCAAACAAATAATAACCCAAACCGTACATTGATGCGGATTGTCTATGAACTTTTTCTGAAGGTCACAGAAACCTGAACGCGTAATTCGGTGTTCTTTCGCATCTGTTGTAGTTAATTTGTGGTAGAGGTTCGATAAGGAGAGGTTTCTCTAATCTTAAATTCCAAGAGGGTGAAAACGCCTCTCAAATATTACAATATTTGTTATTTAAAAAACGGTTAGTCTTTCGGGAAAACGCTTGGACACGCAGTCAAATTCCAACGAGATGAAACTACCTCTCAAATATTACCAAGTTATGTAATAATATCGCCATATTGTTTTTTCTCATGCTGATATAAATGTAAGAAATTTTTTTCCAGTTTGTATGTTAATGGAAATTCTTGCTTTGCTTTATCATCACCATTACAAATGATTAATTCGCAGGGTTGCCAGACGTCCCGATTTAGGCGGGACTGTCCCGATTTTAATCGATGTGTCCTGATATGTCCCGCGGCCCGAGACTGTCCCGATTTGTCCCGCATCTCGTTCTCTGGTTTCAAATTCCCAAAATCTTCCTTCGCCACTATAGTAGGAGACAGGCGACAATGGCATCATGCGTAAACTCTGTTATCGCCTCGTGTCCGCCTCACCGTTTCAAGTATCGACGGTTTAAATACATGACATATCGATGCATCATTGCCATTCCTACTGATTCTTCTTTCTCTCTCTCTTCTTTTTCTTTCACGGATCATAGAGAAATATAAAAATAAAAGAGAGTTGTCATTTCCATAGTAAAAAGTAGGCAACACGTTTAACGAGGATCGATTGTAGCGCACCTTGAGCCCTAACTGAACTTAATAGAAATATACAGACGCACGAAATAGATATCTGTACACTACCACAAAAAAAGGCGGGCAGTTTAAATGTGAATTTAAAATTTTATGTATTTTTAAAAAATATACGAAATCAAACTGCAAAAAACATAATGAAAATTTATTTTTAAAAACGGAATATTTGAAAAGTATAAACTATTGTACACTTTTCAAACGCTTACAGTTAAATGCTAAATTAAATTTGATAATATAAAACATATGCTGAATTAACCTCGAGGGGTAAACCGCTGATGAATTTCTGTACACTAATGCCAAATAATTTAATACTAATACCAATAATACCACGAAAATGCCAAAAATGGGAACATCTTGTACACCAAAATACACCAGCGGTTTACCCCTCGATTAACCTATAGTATTATAAAACGTATTTAACAACGCCACTAACAAAGCATATAAGATCGCAGGGTTTGCAATCCATGCTATTATAACAGATTAAGATTTAAATAAGACATCATCAAAAATTAATTCACCTGTAAGTTGGATTTATAAACTCAGCAGTTGAAGTTCAGTTGAGGTAGCAAATGTTCAACACTGTGAAATCAAGGCGCGAATATATAGTCAGTTCGCTTTTTACGTTCATTGAGTTCAGAGATGGGCAATGTCTTTACATATCAAACTTGCTTTGCATGATACCTCTTCCTGGATCGTGTTCAAATCACATCATCGGCTGAAACAAAACATTACATGATGACCAAACACATAGCACAACAAAGTTCAAATCATAGAGAAATATAAGGTCTCTGGTTCCTCGGGTAACAAAACTTCCCTCCATAATTTCTGTACGCACAAACACAAAACAACAAACAAAGTGTATGCCTGGTGTACAAAATAATAACAAATTCCAAAAATTCAAAAAACATAATTGTAAACAACTGCAAATACAAATAATTTGCTGTCATGTCACTTGTCAACGGTCATGACACGACAGGTAGCAGGTGGCGACGCTTTGATTCTAACTGAACTATGCAACATTATGGCCAAGTTAGACAACCTTCAAACACTCTTTATTTTAGTTACTTTATGCACGGGATTTAGTCGTTTGTCGCTTACGTTTTGTCGCAAGGTCTTTTGTCTAATTTTAAAAAGACTTGTTGTAGTAATTTCTGTTCTGTGGTGTACTTGTACTTTGGTGTTTGGTGTACTACAGAAGGTGTAGTTGTACTTGCCTTGCCCGTGTCCGTGGTCCGTGCAGTGAGTGCTTTACCCGGAGATCAAACGTTATGTTGAGTTAATTTGCTGTACATGTACATTTTAATATTATATATAATTATATAATTATAGGTTAATTTTTTTTGCAACAAAATGGATTCAGATTCCTCAGTGTCCTCTGATGAGATTGACTGGCTAGTAAATTGTGGTGTTTTTGAAGATGATGTGGTCAATGTCGTCAATGACGGAAATTCCCGAGAAGACACAACGTGTTAACGATGTTAAAAAATCAAGAACTTTTCCCTGAAAAATACAGGCGGCTGCGTGTTCCATTTTTGCAAAAAAATAAAAGAAAAAGAGAGGTAGGTATATTAAACTATTTTCATATACAGAATAATCCACCAAAAGATACGAGGTTTGTTAAATTAGAAAAAAGTTGCGCATTTTTGTGCTCAATATTGGCTGCTTACAGAGTTGCCAAAGTTTCATTTGTTTCCAATATAATAGGAAATATACAAAATGTAACATTTATTTTATTAAAAAAAAATAACTCAAAAACTATTAACAATTATAGAATCATAAGTTTTGTGCACAATTTATATTTTTTTTCTTTTTCTTACAAAATATGCTACTTGGAAAAAAAATTCACCAAATGTATAGCTGTTCAGATATCGATACCAACTTATTTTATTTCAATACGGACTTTTTAAAAATATATTTACAGACGTCTGGTAACAAAATGGCCATCATCGGGGGTTTTTGAGTACGGACCTGGAGAATAATCGGTAATGGTGGTTATCGTCAGCATTTATTATAATTTCTTAGCAATCATCATGTCTCTTTATATTATCCCCTTTGTTGATAAAAACAACTACCTACCTATATCTATTTTAATAAAATATAAATAATGTTAATATGTTTATTATATTTTTCGTTTAGTACTTGTGTATTTTCATTTTAAAACATTTTTTATACCACAATCCCTCAATAAATTATTATTTAAGATATTAAAATAAACATTTTTGGGCGTGGCACCCAAACATTTTCACCTCCGGCGGTCATTCAGTGCGTCCCGCTTTTTCTTCTTCTAAATATGGCAACCCTGTTAATTCGACGCGAACGAAGTAGCAAGTAGCGGGTACACGCTAGTAGTAGATAAAATAGTACTTTAATCGCAATCGTTTGTATTCCTTTTCATAAGTTATTCGGGATTTAAATGGAAGTAGCTTGGATATGGCGTTTGTCGCCTCAGCCTGAATATCTGTGTATAATTTGGACCAGAGATATAGGACAACGAAAATCTACCAGCCACTGCTCTGAGGATATCAAATAAAGTTACGACCTTTCAAGTTCTTTTCAAATGTATTTAACAGCATTTCTTCATTAAGATGTTCAGCTTTAATACTAACAAAATAAAGCTTTTGAAACAAATAGCAGTAACAATTTGTCAGATTATGGTTTTATGTCTAAAGCATTCTCCAGTTATTTTATGACCAATTAGTCTTTGTTGAATTGACGCGATAGCGTCGAAAACAATTAAATTTTTACTGTTGTTAAACTTAATAGTTTTAAGAGTGCATGGCTCTTATTTAACTAGCTTGATTATTTTCTCTTAAAGGCACTACTTAAATTTAAATTTTATGTATATTCTTATATACATTCTATACATTCTTACTCAGTGCCGGCTCGCCTTAAAGGGCACAGGAGCACGTGTCCAAACGTACAGAGTGTCCCATTTTAGTGTGTTTTACAGGGTTTCTCGTTTATGAGTAGAGATACAAAGATGCGGTTTTCACATCTTATGTCTGATCGAATAAAAACGGCGTCAGCGATGGCTATGAAATGAAGATTGGCATTTTATATGTAAAACTAGCGTGTATCGAATTAATCATTTCTAATGGTGATGATAAAGCAAAGCAAGAATTTTCATTAACATACAAACTGAATAAAATTTTCTCACATTTATGTCAGCATGAGAAAAAACAATATGGCGATATTATTATATAACTTGGTAATATTGAGGGATAGTTTCATCGCGTTGGATTTTGACTCTCGAAAAATTCGTTTGCCAAAAATAAGCCTTTTACGTCAAGCAGTTTAAGCAGAATCGTGGTTAATCAATTACCCAACTTTTTGGAACACCCTGTATGATTTTTTAAAACATTTCAAAATATGTAAAAAAACAAAATAAATTATGCGTGTCCAAGCGTTTTCCCGAAAGACTAACCGTTTTTTAAATAACAAATATTGTAATATTTGAGGGGCGTTTTCACCCTCTTGGAATTTGAGACTCGAGAAACCCCTCATTATCGAACCTCTACACCCCACGGTCAATCCGTTAGCCAAAAATCAGCTTTAAACGTCAAGCAGTTTAAGCAGAATCGTGATTACTCAATGGTCATATTTTATGAAACACCCTGTATAAATTTTAAAAAAATCTTAAAATATACAAAACTAGAAAATAAAATGTACGTGTTTAAGAGTTTTTCCGAAAAACTCACCGGTTTTTAAATAAAAAATATTCTAATATTTGAGGGGTGGTTTCACCCCCTTAGAATTCGAGTTTCGAAAAATCTCTTCTTATCGAACCTCTACACCCTAAAGTCAATCTGTTTTCCAAAAATTAGCTTTTTACGTCAAGCGCTTTAAGCAGGATCGTGATTAATCAATGACCAGATTTTTCGAAACACCCTGTATGCATTTTTAAAAAATCTTAAAACACGTAAAAAAACAAAATAAAATATACGCGTTTTTTCGGAAACTTGACCGTTTTTTAAATAAAAAATATTGTAATATTTGAGGGGTGGTTTCACCCTCTTGCAACTGGAATTTCGAGAAATCCCTTCCTAATGAACCTCTACACCCTAGAATCAACCTGTATGCTAAAATTGAGCTTCTTACGTTGAGTGGTTTGAACAGGATCGTGATTAATCAGTAGGTACATATCGTCGCCTTAATCGGCAATATGCGTAACTCCACATTTTTCATAAAATGACATTTTTGTGCCATCTGGTAGGAAATATTACAACCCATGACTTGCAGAAATCCGTATATCCAAAATTAAATCGGTTTATTTGGCATTCCATAAGTAGAAAACCTCGTATCTCCTTTCCCGCCAATTTCAATCGGCAAAATCCGTAAATCCGTCGGTTTGTTATACATTTTCATGGTGAACACATGTATAACAATGTTATGTGGTTTATTGGCTTTGCTGCAGTGATACTAACATCTTATTTTGTATAATTAACTGTTATAAGGTAAGTGTAATTTCTATTTATTAGGTACAGTACATTTTTAGAGTCAAAATTAATAAACAGAGCGCTAAAGGCAAAATATTATTTTTAAGGGAGTTACGCAGTTTTCGTGTTTTATATTTTAGAAGTTACATTTACTCACATAGGACATAAGTACTTTTCTTCACGTTTGTTATAGAATTATGAACATATTTTAACCTGCTTTTCAGTTACAGAAAATATTTTGTTTAATCAAGTATACGAATTGACAGGATCTTTAAAGCATTGGACGTTGTAAAAAGTAATACACAATGCAATGTTAACGAAGCGCCAGTTAAAAATAGCGTATATAAAAAACCATTTAGCGACAATCCGGATTTCAATGCAACCTTAAAAAATAATGATAGTTATAACTTAGATCTATCGAAAACCATTGAAGAAGCCGAAATTATATTTTTAAACAATGGTGGTAAGTAATCATTAAACCTCTATGTAGCTAAACAAACTTGGCATCTAATTGTAGATGTACCAATAAGCGAACTTATGGTTGCATCCAATAATGCTGAATGTATATTATCTGAGGAACAAGAAATTCAAATGCTGGTAAAGGACAGAAGGGGTAGGATTAATATGATTGAGAGTGTCATTTCACTATCTAAGTTTTATTTTTAGAAGAAACATTAGCTTCAGTGGACTTCAATATGGAAGTTGACCGGATATTTAATGAAATACCTTCCTGTTCAGCAGTACAACCTAGTAGATCTGAGGTAACTATCAATATTCACGAGACACTGATTAAGGAAAACATTTATGGAGAAACGGATAATAACGATCCCGATTTTAATCCAGCCTTAAAAAATTAGGATACCTCTGACTCAGAAGATGACCCTATTGCCGTGCCAAGTAATTTACCGGACGACAACATATTGGAAGATGAAAACCCAAGACGAAAACGATCAACAAAATACGAAGTAAACAGAAACGAATGGTATGAAAATAGAAACCGAATAAATAGAGAAAAAGGAAAATCCTATTTAGGGAAAAAAAAGGAAGTGGAGGTATGATACTGTACAGGAACCAAGATTACTAAAAGAGGCCTGTAACTGTAAACTAAGTGCAAATCCAAAATGTATTTTGAAATGTAGACAGATAGCGGAAAATGAGAGAGAAATTATTTTTACGCAGTTCTGGAAATATACTTGGGCAGAAAAGAAGATGTTCGTAAAAAACCATGTGTCCGTAGAAACCACTAGTAGAAAGAGAGGATATAGAGAAGTTTCTAGAAGATCATATTCGCATAATTTTTTTTTGGGCAAGGCCAGACTAAGGATGTGTAAAGTAATGTTTCTTAACACATTAGGGGTGAACGAGTGGGTTATAAAAAAGTGGACAAAAAATAGCGACCAAGTCCATTTTAACCAGACTGAAATACCTGATAAAATTAATATTTCTGTTCGTTTGCTGCATGAGTTTTTTGAAACTCTACCAAAGTTAGAGTCGCATTACTGTAGGGCTTCTACCGCTAAGCTCTATTTAGAACCTATTTGGAATTCTAAAGCCCATTTATATAAGGTTTATAAAAACGACTACTGCAAAACACGTAATGAAAAATCTGTATCAATTGCCACTTTTCATAAGGAATTTGACAAAAAAAGGTTGTCGCTTTATAAACCAAAAAAAGATCTATGCGACTGTTGTGTCGCTTATCAAACAGGCAATTTAACAGAAGAAAAGTACAATGAACACATAACATTGAAAAATGAAGCAAGAAACGAAAAGAGTGCAGATAAAGAGTCTCAAGATGAAGTCTTAGCAATGGATCTCCAATCGGTTTTGCTCTCTCCAAAATCTAATGTTTCTTCGCTTTATTACAAGACCAAATTAATCGTTCATAATTTCACAATATTTGACGTCAAGCGCAAACAAGGTTATTGCTACCTGTGGAATGAGTCTGAAGGCGGATTAACAAGTAACGAATTTTCAAGCATCATAATTCATTTTCTGAAGGGACATCTAGAACAATATCAATTAGAAAATCAAAATGAAATTAAAATTATATTATGGAGTGACGGGTGTGGATACCAGAACAGAAACACAACTTTATCAAATGGTCTGTTTAATTTTGCACTGGAAAAGAATGTAACTGTGGTACAAAAATATTTACATAAGGGCCATACACAAATGGAAGTGGACAGCGTTCACTCTGTTATCGAAAGAAAGATCCGAAACAAGAAAATCAATATTCCCGCAGATTACGTATTTATTTGTAAAACAGCATGTCAAAAAACTCCTTACAAAGTTGAGTACCTTATGCACGACTTCTTTAAAAAATATGATGAACTAAAATATTTCAAATCCATTCGACCAGAAATAATCGCTGGAGCACCATTAGTAAACGATATAAAAGCCTTGAAGTACTCAAATGATGGAGTTTTTTTAAACTTCGTCATTCAGAAAAAGATTGGCAAGCTCTTCCAACAAGGTTGAACATAAAATCTATTAAGGCAACTAATATAGATAACTTACCGATACTACACAAAAATAGGCTAAAAATTAAAGCAGAAAAATATGGACACCTCCAACAGCTTAAGTTAAGCATGGAAAGCGATTATCACGATTTCTATAATAATCTACCTCATGATTAATCTTTTTTAAATTAAGTTCTTAAATGTTCTACTTTTATAAATAAAAATATTTTCATATTCATTTTCTTATTATTTTATTGCTATAGCTTTATTGGTAAGAAAAATGCCTATCTCCAATTTTTAAATTAAAATATAAAAAAGAAAATTACCTATCTCCATTTTTTATAAAAATTAATGATTAATGTTACAATACTAATTATGCCCCTCGTTTTTGTCACTTTTATGATATTTTTTAATCATTAAAAGCAATAATTGTGATAAAATTAAATAAAGTTAGAGGTAAAATCGTTTTTTGTGTCTCCTGAAAAATTTGTAGGAATGGAGTTACGCACTAAGCCGATTAAGCCGACGATATGTCAGTCATTTAAGGATTTTATATATTAATATAGATGAATATCGTTATACATAAGAACTCTAGAGATCGTACAAAAGAATTTTATAGATCATTTAAGACAATGCAATAATGTAAAAATAATGTGCATTAATTAATAACTAACTGTAAGTAAAAGGAATTGCTAACTATGTAACTGTAAAAATTGTTATAAATAATGTATTACTAATTAAAAAATATATATAGTATCTAATTTTAACGTTGATTTAAAAAAAATACTAATATTTTCTAACAACATCGGTCATTAGATATTTTTACGCCAAAAATATTCTAGAGTTCAACATCACTTTAGAAAAATAATTATACTTTATTATAATTTGAAAAGAATTAAGTTAGCATGGCGTACTTATACCCCGCTGGCAAGCGAACGTTTAGGTCGGCGTTTACATGTATAGGAGTGAGTCGTTATGGCAATCTAGTAAGTCGGAGTGGGCAAAAATACGAAGTATTTATTACATAACTACTTAATCTGACTTTAGACACAAATTACCTATAACAGATGCGAAAGAACACCGAATTACGCGTTCAGGTTTCTGTGACCTTCAGAAAGAGTTCATAGACAATCCGCATCAATGTATAGTTTGGGTTATTATTTGTTTGGGTAAAAATAATCTGCACCAATATGTTATCGAGGCATACAAAAAGGTCCACAGACTTCGAACATACGAAAAATCAAGTCCATTTAGCGTGTGTCGCAATTTTCACACCTTAAAAATTAGTTTTTATAGCTATAGCAACTGCAGCGACTATGAAAAAAGCTGTGTGATTTTCATAGAAAATAAGGGCACCTGTAATTCATTTGAGAATGTTATAAATCGCTAAAAGATGTTTCAAATCTCTTGGATTTCTATTAATATTAAATAAATTTTATTAAAAATTGAACTAAAATTGTTAGTATCATTAAAAACAATTCAAATTCAAAAATTGTATTAGTCAAATTCCCTCATTTAAGGTGAATATTAAAGTAAATACAAATACAGCTCATTCTAAGCTCTACTTATCTTCAAGAAAAATTTAAATCATTGTTGCAATTGGGCCTTAATGCCATTTCGAATGAACAATAGTATTAATAATGTAATTAATTAGCCCGTACTCTTAATTGGCCCGTACTCTTCTTTATTTTTCAATTTTAAAAATTTTAAAAATGATTTTCAAATGGTGTAATTTAAAGTTCGAAATAAATATTTTTTTTGGGATTCATTTTTCTTCGTTTTTTTTAATAGTGTGTATTAATCCTTTGTTATGTATGGCTCACCCTTATAACTTTTTTATTTTTTTCAGACAAAAAAATGAGACTTTGTATGACAGTATATGAGCTAAAGTAGGATTGATTGACATATTCAATTGTTTTCGGTCACTTCCGGTTTCACGGGAAATGTCTACAACTTTTGATTTTTATAAGGCACCCTCGGTATTTTTTTACTTTATTCTATAGAAAAAACACTCTGAATCGAATGGTATATCATATGCAGAGATATGGAAGTGGGAGAATGAGCTTCGACGAGTGCGCATCCAAATTTTTGTCGACAGCAAGATGGCAGACATCTTCCAGGTCTCGCTGTCACTTCCCCTCTTTAATTGACATCTCTTTGTTTTGTTATTTTTTCGTTTGCGTTGTTATCTAGTTAAAATTTATTATTATCTCAATTATTCTAAACACAAATTCAAAAAGGCTTGTTGTATATTGTCATAGTCATTCTAAGAAAGCTAATACGCCGGGAAAAATGATTAGTTTTCATGTGTAAGATTATACAACATAATCGTGTTTACAGCTGATCCAAAACTGTTTATTTTTACTTTTCCTAAAGGCGATTTGTAAAAATCGTGATTGTAATTGGGAATGGTCAAAAATAAGTGTATGATGTGGCCATTTCAAGAGGATGTTTTTATTACGTGTGGAGGAATAAGATACTTGGAATCGTTATCGAATGTTCGTGCTTCTGTAAAACAGTGCACTCTTATAGTGTCCATGAAAGCACAAGTTCAAGTGTACCAGAAATATGTCAAATAAGATTGGTCCTTACTTGACAAGAAGATTATTTGGAGGAAAAGAAAACATAAGATAGGGTATTTTAATCGAATAGCGAAAATTTAACATTTTTATTGCAAAGTTTGTTGTAGGTAGTTGTAGTTTTGTGCTAAATATTTCTAATATTAGCAGCAGCAGTGTTCAGAGTGTCAAGAGGAGGAGAATTCAGTTAATTAGATTTATGCACAGTTACTGGTATGAAGGCTTTTTGAAACATAATATCGAGTTCTATAGTCAACATTTTTAGTATTCCTACAAACGGTAAAAACAAGGAACATTGGACTGAAAAAATGGCAAGATTTATATAGGAAGAAAGGGTATTATGCCAATAAAGAAAATTAAATCTGTAGGCAGAAGTTTCTTATTTAAAAACTGTTATGGGGCATATATTAATTTGTATCTGTACCACAAATCACTGAGAAAAATCATATAATATTCATAATTGTTAACGAGATGATATTTAAAGAGTGTTAAAAATGAGACTATTAGTCATGAAGCTTACAATGTTACTTTGTTTCAATATTACACTTTTATTCTTGTAAAATCTATGATGAAGTTCAAAAGCATTTCCAATGGCCTTAAATTGTGAGCCGGGATTTATAGCAAAGGTATTTGATGCAATGAAACTTAATCAGTACCTACCTTCCAGTATGTATTTTAGTAAGGGGATTGTCAATCCCATGTTTTTAAATAGATAAAATAAAAGGCTAAAGTATTACAGTTGAGAAGAAACTATTTTATCTTAAAAAATGTTTCTTAAAATTCTGAGATCATATAATCTTATTTTCTTAATAATAAATTAGGTATATGTATGTTGTACATACAGAATTTTGTTATGGACAAATAAGGATCGACAAGTGTGCAAAAAATAAATGATTTTTTCTTGTATTAAGACAAACCGTAATGTGTTTTACAAACTTACCGGTTACCGGTAACAGTTTTTTATAATAAAATATTTAGGAATAATTTGGGTTGTTTATCAATATATTAATGACTTGAATTTTGACAAATTGAATTTGTATCAAAATAATTTTACGAAATATAAAATTGATGTTCTATTACAAGATTGAGTTTTTATTGTCGGCAAAAACCAGGAGATAAATACTAATAATAATACCCTTAATAAAATCAATGATGTTTATCTATTATGAAAATATTTGTTAGAGGACATGTTATGTAACAGTTTTTGTAACACAATTTGAAGGGACGAATAAAAAAATAAAACAGAAACATACTTTTCTAGGTTTATATTAAAAATTCAAGGTAGGTAATCATCAAAAATAATTATGAACCAAATGTTTTTATGAATATACAACTTGAACAAAACGTTGTTTAGAACAATTTTTACTAAATTTGCAAAAATTTTAAATTGAAACGCGTAATTCAATACAAGTAAACATGAAATAATTGTAAATACTTATTTAATGGCATTTCGAGTGTTTAACGACTAAGAAAAGGTCATCTGTCCGTAGCGTCTTTTGTCAGAATATTCGTATATTTAGTGTATTATATACCAATATTGTACGCAGTTTTGAAACTGATGATAATTAAATAAATCATATTAATGTTAATTAACCATAATAAATGATAGAATTTCACTAAATTTAAATTGCCCCCCCGTATGGTTGAAAACAGCAAATTGATATTTGATTACTTATAGATTACCACCTATATACAAAATGACACGGAGATCTGGAATATGGCGCCCAACTTGATTAGACCTTCTGCGCATGTTGACGCTCATTCTCTATCCCTTCTATTTCTCTGATCATATGTCAACTTTTGACATATTCGCTCAAAAACAAATTTTACTTTAAATTTCAATCTAGAGTGACATGGCTGTGTTAAAAACACTAATTTTTAATCAAGGAGCATTGGAAAAATATGTTTGATCGTCTAATGTTTTTAGTGTCTTCGCCGTCTAAAAGATGCCCAAATCGTATTTTTACTCATATCTCAATTTTTTGAAATGGAACGAGGGTGGCTCATTAGCATATTTGGAAAAAGCATTTTTTTACGAATAATTTGATACCACACGCTTCGCATTTCGAGTGAAATTGTCATTATGAACCGCATGTTACAATTTCAAATAAACCATATGTGAAAATGTCATTTTCTATCGAATAAAGTAAAAAAATACCGAGGGTGCCATTTAAAAATCAAAAGTGCGTTGTAGTAATTTCCGGTGAAACCGGAAGTGACCGAAAAGAGTTAAATATGGCAATCAATCCTAATTTATGTCATATACTAACATACCAAATCTCGTTGTTTTATCTGAAAAAATAAAAAAAGTTATAGGGGTTAGGTTAGGTTGTAGGAGCCACTTTTGAGACGCACCCGGTATGTTGGCTTAGGCTATTATCCGATTTAAGTAGAAAACTGATTAAAATTTTAAAAAAAACTGGTTAAAATCGAAAAACCGATTTTTTTTCTATTTTTTTTAAACCAATTTTTTTTCCCTCTGGATCATAAGGTAAGGGAAAATTCCTTGTTCCTTAGCTGACAGTACACAATGGGAGATGAATTGAGAGTAATTACCTATTTTTAGCCGTGCTATTCCGCACTTTTAGACCTTTTAAACACTTGAGAAAATAAAACAAGAAGAATACTGGCGTTCCCTGCTTCTTTGCCAATTGGCCAACTGCCTCGCTAAGCTCTAATGGTGTTTACGAATTTTCTTTTGTGGCTAATTAACAGTGTTCAAAAGAGGCGTACGAACGAATGCCTATCGGCTTACTCTGCACTCGGTCAACAAACCTTGC